CCAAAAATCCCATGTACTTCAACTTTTTTTAATCCACATCAATTGTAAAAATGTGTATGTCAATCAAACTTTGACATTGGAATGTCACTATCTATTTCAATCCACAAAGAGCTATTTGTTGTTACAAAATGTTTCTTTCTTCTAATTTGCTTTTTTACTGGAAGCGCCTTCTTGGGAGTTCAAGCATTTTTGGCCCGCTTTGCTGGCACCTTTGATTAGGGAAATTACTCACTTTTAGAATGAATGCACTGCATATTCAAAGCCTTAAGATAACTTATTATGCACATTTCCAGGTTCAAATTTGTATTTTGTGCATCTACTGTGGCATTATATACTGTACGCTTTCATTTTCAAAAAGTGCTTTATTTTTGATGAAGCACATCGCATTCCAGCCGAGTCTGATTGGTTAGCTGGATGGCTCTTTTGTGATTGGTTACCCGCTTAGAGATTTGTCAAAAATGTCCTGCCCCTTAGCCTCCATCACGTACAATGTGTTGGAGCACTAGCCATAATGTCACTTTGTTCGACAAAGTAAACAAAGGAGTCCAATGGAGGCGTTTCAGGCCGAGGGGTGGGAGTGTGGGAGATACACTTTAGAATTGGAGTCTTTGCAGACCATTTACATGCACACAAACCTATATAACAGACTACAGGAAAAAATGTAACAATTGGTGGGCAGTGTTGAGATATTTGTGTTGTGTCCCTGCAGTAATAAAGAGGACTAAATGTAGATGAACCCTGTCTATCTAGCAATTTATTTACATTGAATAGCGAGAATACACATTCACACCTGTCATTACAGAGCATTTCATCTTTCAAAAAAATGTGGTTTGGCCACCATTTAAAACACTTTAAGACCCTACAACGATCCAACTGATTAAAATGTCAAAATAATGTTATTGAAATGTGTAGGAGCAGCTTACAGCAACAGGTTTCTCCTCATTATTTAACTGCAAAGAAGTAACGGTGGGAATTTGGGGTTCATCCTGTGACAGTTATGCCCGTCGACCCCGAGATGTGCTCGACACGCCCCTGCCTGTTAGAATCAGCAGGAAATCAATAACTGAAATAGAAGTATAGAAGACAAGTGTGCAGACCAGAGGGATAAATGGCAATACATGGTCACAAAATAACTCGTGGAGCACAGTGAGCGCGGCAGATGGATGGATCCTCTGAATGGAATCTGAGTTTTTCCTTTAAGAGCACAGCTATCACGGTGTCAAACCTCTGAGGATAGAAAGGCATAATAGCCCCATTCTTAACTTAATTTCATTGTAGCTTCTGTGCATGTACATTATTCTCATCCGCCCCCGTCGCTCTCGCACAGCACAACAGATACAGATCTATAACTACCGTCTCCGGTCTGGAGGGAACCTGGGGGGGAAAGGGCTTTGTTCGGCTACGGGTCCCCGCCTGCATGGCTGCGCCGCTCACTCCGGCTTGGGTAAAGAAACAGCCATCCACACTGACCTCAGAGCTGTTGTTTAATCATCAGGGCATTTTAATGGCTTGTCAGAGTAATGAAATATGGTTGGAGGCTACCTGGTGCAAACATTACGATAAATCCCTCTCACACAAGCCTACGCAGGGCTTAATGGTTATAAATCATCACTTTGGGGAGAGAAAAATGACAGCTATTAAAATAATGAATGGGATGATTAATTTTTCACATTAAAGATTAAAAGCTATGAGAGGTATCATCAGATATTTGAGCCGCCGTAAACGTTTGAAAGTGAGAGCTTATTTTCCGCACTTTACGACGCCCTCCGTTTCTTCACTGTCATCCAAGTTTCTGCCCCTTCCTTTTTCTTTTACCTCTCTTTTTTCTCTGTGTGCTGGGTGCGCCCGGCGACACAGGCATTCCTTACACCTAATTTGTGCTCTTGTAAAAGTGCTCTGAGGAAAAGCCTTGAAGAACACTCATTGCTCGAGGCAGTACAGGACCCTCTCAGCCTCTCTGCAGGGGCTCCTCAAGGATCACACCGACATTATTTCATACCTCTAAAGCTGTCATACCTACAGCCTTTCACAAGAAGAATAAGAAGAGCCGGCCAGAGGTACTTTGCCTTGTTTTTTGGCCATTTTTCCTCCGTTGTTCTTGTCAGCTTTCCCCGGCTACATCTGTTCTTTGGAAAGCGATCATTGATTAGTCAACTTTCTGCTTGGAAATGCATGTCGAACAAAGACAGTATATAATAACACATGCTCACTGAGCTGGAATAAATCCCCATGTATAGACAAACCATGACAAGCTTTCTCTCTCCGTCAGATGGCTCCCAGGAGAAGGTGTGTTATTGCACATGGGTTCCTAATTCAGCGTTCACTTGCAGGGGTTGTTGTTCCGACATATATCACCCACATTGCAAGGCGAAAGATTAGCGGGGAGGAGCATAATTAGAGCATTAATAACCATACATGTTAGGGAACATAAGTAATTGAGTTTTTTATGATGAATGGGAATGTAAACAAAAGGCAGGAGAGTGAGCGCTTCAATTAGATATTCCAAAGCTGGGCTGTGCCTCAGCAGAGAATGGAGGATTCTCCCACTGTTGCCCAATTATTTCTGTGTTCCCAGGCAATGATAGTATTGCTTGTCCATCTGCAGCCTTCAAAGGGATATTCAAATTGTCTCATTGAAGCAACGGCTCCATTTGTTGGCAGAGAATAAATTGTTGGCTTGAGTATTTTTTCATCCGCTGAGAGCATAGCCAGGTATTTGTGCAGCTAAAGTTATTTACAAAGTGGTGGGAAATTTAAACGACTCCTCTGGCGTTTCCCTGTGCCTCCTTTTTTTTTTTTTCTTTCTTTGATTTCTGGCTTTTTGTGCACGCGTGTGTGGTGTCTTTTTTCTGTTTCCATTTCACTCGCTGTCACTAGAGACACGCGTGACGGCCGCCCCACTCCTCCTTCATGTTCTTCCAGCTCCCTCTTTGCTGTCTGCTAATGATCCAGGGACACCAAATAAAGGGCCACTGAAACAAAATGGCCACCTTAGCTGCCCACTTATATCTCAACCCTCCCCTCTGGAATCAATTCTGACATTTCATTCTGCCCTTATAGAAGGTAATGGTGCATTCAGAGGTTGTTACCGATAATGTTGAAACGGCAATGCTTGGTTTCATTGGAGAGACGTACTGTAACCTCTGCAGGAGGATGGCTTTAGACCCTCTGCCTCTCTTTTCTTTACCTTCCTTCTTATTGTTTTTCCTCTCATGCTGAAAACGTGGTGTTTACTGGCTCAAATATCTCCTTTGGCACAAGTGGGAGCAGCGTTTTTCATTTTGTGTTAACAAGTAACCAACCAGTGTTTGTATTTCCTCCCACTCTTGTGTTCACACAACATGAAGTGAAAACAGCCTTTTAAGTCGGCTAGTCAATACACTGTTTCTAATATATTATTTACTGCCTATGGGTAGTATATCAGAATGCGCTAAACAACTGTTTCGGTTTCGCAGTCATAATCATGTAGAAAGAAATCACAGAGCCAGATGTCTGGCGCTCATTTTACAGCATTAATGTTTTCCTCTGAGTTTATGTAAAATTCATCCTTCTCTGTTTTATTTATTCCCTCGTTTTCACAGCCTCAACAATTAGTCAATTCCCAATCAACAAGAGAAAAGAAATTGCTTTTAATTACTTTTGATAAATGACAAATTGTGTTGGCATGGCTCCCTGCAAATGCTTAATCAGGTGCGGGGCGGGGTAGGAAGGCGTGCACCGGGAGAAGGGATTTCTGCTGGGATGAAATCAATGCGCTTTCTCTGCGGTTCACCGGCTGGGCTTCTGGGCAACAGCCAACCCGAGGCCTGCGAGGATACACAAGTCAGCAGAAAAAGCAGCCGCCGCACACTGAGGCGGAGGCATGCTGCTGTATGTGCCGCCCGACAGACGCATATGTGGGCCGTAATGCTCGCTCACAAGATTAAATGTTTGCAGACGTTGATGCAAATGCACATTCAGACACAATCAGCCACACAATTAGTCACTCTGACCAAACTAATAACATCACCGGCAGATAATGTTATTACTTAAATGCAATAACACCTGTCTAAATGTGTATAATAAAACCTGGTGCACCTAACGTAATTAGAAAAAAAAAAACATTATAACCTTTCACATTGCTATAGTTGGAGATACATGTGTACACATCTTTAACAGTAGTACAAGTGTTTTGAAAACAGCTTTAAAGAATATTTTGCTATACATGTACTTCTGTAGCAAACACCAGATATAGGGTGGTTGCCAGGTTTGATACCTTTGTGCCTAAACAGAGACCAACACACGGAGCCAGACTTACTGTTTACACTTGTTAATAGCCTTTATGCTAAGCTAGGATAACAACATCTTGATTTCAGCTCTACACATTAAATATGACACCTGTTCTTGTTCTATAATTCTACGAAGGAAAGCAAATAAAGGTTTAAAAATGTTGAATACAAGTCGGAATAATAAATACAGGCCGATTCTGGCATTCCCAGTATTATCAGCAAGATGTACTACAACATGGCGTCTTGTTTATTTTAGGGGCATATTTGTTTTTATTGAAATGTCCATCTGAAAAAATAAACAAACTAGAATCAGATGTTTTTATTGTCATCATGTACAATTTTTTTTTTTTTTCTTCTCTCTGTGTTGTTTAAAATAGACAGAAATAAATTAAGCAGTAAAATCAGCAGAGAGAATAAAACAAATTGAAGGTTATTTACAGGTAAAGGTACAACAGTTACAGATTGTGGTTGGGTGTTAATAAATAGATGCTAAAAAAAGCAGATGGATGTGTGATTTTGAGAGTGTCACATGACTTGGTCTCTGTGAGTGTGTGTGCTCACCATCATTGTAAAGTGTTCTGTGGTTGAACAGGGAAGGTGCATTGGACACCACAGCTCTAGGAAAGAAGCTGTTCCTCACTCTGTTAGTGGGTTCTTATTATCCTCGCACTTCACCTCTTTCTGCACTTGTCTGTGTTTTAAGACACAATGTATTTCTTTGTCTTCCTGCAGGGTTCGTCAGCACCTGTGGCAGCAGCAGCAGCGAGTAGAGTGACCCAGCTTCAGCCCGACCGGCTTTACCTGTACATGGAGACCCCCAGCTGGGCAGGTCAGTCTCTCAGAAACCCCCTTTAAACCCTCATGTCCGTGTGTTGTGCTCTGTAGGTCCTGTCTGTGTTTGAAGTTTCTCCCACTCCTACTTAAGGTTTGTTTTGTTTGGACTGGTGGAAAAGCTACCCCGGTTGTATTGATCCAAACTTCACTGAAACCAAGCTTGACACGTTGAATTTTCTATCGGGATCTGAGAAATATCCGGAGAACAATCCAATCAACGTTATATTTTTGGGAATTCCTGCTTCTTGAAACTTCTTCGACAACTATGTAAAGCCATATCTAGATATAAAATCCATCTAGACCTGCAACTGCATGGCCTGTTTTCTCCATCATTTCACTTTAAAACATATTTTGGTAAATGGTCATTGTTTTGGACATCAAGGCCATTGGAAACTTTGTTTTTAGTTAGGGTTAGCGCTAGGTTCAGGGGTTAGGGTTAGGGTTTGAAAATGCCCTTATCACCAGGATAAGAGTGTCTGTTCCTTTCAAAACAACACGACTCATATTGCTTTATTCTGATTATAAACCACAGTAGTAGCAGTAGCAGTAGCAGTAGCAGTAGCAGTAGCAGTAGCAGTAGCAGTAGCAGTAGTAGTAGTAGTAGTAGTAAGGCTTGGATAGGGTTAGGCATACATTACACTTATTACGAGTCTGGGAAATTCATAGTTTGTTTTATAATGTTTTGATAACAAAAGAAACCCATGTTGGATTTCTAGTAAACTAAAGAGTTTACTTGTGCTGATCTCCAGTGACTTCTCGCTACACTGGAGTGATGTCGAGGTGTACTTCAGGGTGTGTCAGTACACCATGACATCACTTTTGTTGGTGATGTCAGGTACAAACCAGCAGTTATGTTGTGTGTTGCACACTTTAAACATTCTTTAAAGCATATTTGCACTCCTTTGAGGACTCTTCCATGATCCACCAATCCAACGCCCTGCTTCTTCAGCCTTTGCTCTTGACAGCCAAAGGTCATCATTCACTCGAGTGCTCGAGGCCTTTGTCAGTTAAACATAACAATCGGTTGTTTATGGGCATATAAACAACTGATGCTGTGGTTCTTCTTGGTAGGACATTCTATTGTGTCCTTTTCTAGATGTTTTCAATTCCATGTCCACTCCCACACATTTGGAAGTGAGACAGTTTGGCTGTTTGAGTGCTCCTGTTCTCACCTGGCTCTGCACGAGAAGCCAAGCGCTCACGAGTCTTAGGAAACGGCTTCACGCCCTCTCGCTGCGGATGCACCCTCACTGTAATAAAGCCTGTATGTATGCACGCCTTACTCTCCCCCTATTCGGCCATATTCTGCTAATGTGTGCTGGTTAAGTAGCGGAAGACTAGAGAAAGACTCTTATCCATATGCCTGAGAGCCCAGGAGCCGGCCTGATCTCTCCCCAGATGGAGTCCTCTGCTTCCCCGCCCATCCTCCGTAGAGCCATATAGCAGGTGGCAGTGAGGATCAATGGGCCCCCGCCATTACCTCCTCTCCACTTCACATCTCCAGCCCCATCTCCGGGGGGGGGGCCCACGGGGCAAGCGCCGCATCTAGCTGCCGCACACCGGGAGAAATAGGGACGTTTTCCATTAGTCTAATTGCTCAGTTATAGTTCTATATTATTGCCGTGATCACCACTGTGGCTTGGTAATGATGGACCTCCCGTGCCCCCACGTATAGCTGGTGGGTGTTATGTTTCCCCCGTCACCACCCATTGAAACTACACTTGCAGCGGGTGTAGGAGGAAAGAACTTAATGCTGGGAAGAAAACCGAATAATAAACAACCCAAAAAGAGAAATGGCTCTTCAAATGTGTTGATGTAAGAGTTTAATCAAATAGCCTCAGCTATTTACATTCTCAACAGGTGCAGCATTCGGCTGATTTATGGAATAAACACTGGAGTTCTAGTGCTTGTTCATTTGCCTCCGCTAAAAAGTGGCAATATGGGGATAATTTGCAATAATTTGCTGCTGCTGTGGCCACTGGTTAAGAATGTTTATATAATCATGATATAATAAGAAAAATGAAAATGAGTTTTTCCCGCAGTTCAGGCCCTGTCAAACACAGCTCACGGACTCGCTAAATGATAATTGCATTCCTCAAGCACAGTATTACATTTTACCCTCTTACTTGTACGGCAAATGGGGGAGTATTATTTTCATTTTAAGGCGATACGACCCGGTATTATTCCCACATCTGAGAAGTACAGTAGAAGGTCCCCCCGCCTCATCAGCGATTACATGAGAAGTCTTCCATCAGTCAGCTGATGAGGTGACGAGTATAATGAATTCATTTACCCTCAAAGACTCTGCCTTTCTTCTCTGTTTATAATATCCTATTTGCATAACCTAGTGTTGGAGACATTGGGAAAGCTTTAGTCCGAGCTTCTAATCGGCGCTGAATCTTCCACAGCTGACCTGCATCCCCTTAACAATTGTATGTTTTGAGCTGTACTGTACTGTACCCAATATACAAGCTGTTAATAAACTTTTCAAACCTGTAGCTCTCCCCACAGGTCAGCACATAAACGCTGCTTCCTGTTTAGGATCTCCTCATACTATTGTTGCTGATTATCTCGCCTATTTTTCCTTAGAAGGAGAAGAATCCTTAGCAGTAATTCCTTTTTTCTCTTTTTTTTTAATACAGGTATAGGTATTGATCTTAGCCTTTGCTGCAGGGGAGTATGTTCACTTAAAAGGAACACTGATGTAGCAGAGCTTATTAAACAAATAGGCCAGAGAACAAGGCCACGATATATGAAACGCTCTGCTAACAAGGTGTGTAATCTATTTTAATCAGATCATATTTTATGAAACAAGGAGAAGGTTGAACTTAAGTAAGAGAGAAAGATGGAGATACTGTGGGGGTTGGGGGGGGTTGTATTTTGAAATTGGATGTGACGGCCCGGGGAACATGACTTGATTTTACATGCATGGCTTTATAATGAAGCCACGCCAAATGGTCAGTTATAGTTAACTTTAGGGGGGAGCTGGAGCCTTGCTGTAATGGGAGGCTAATTCGGGGCCCATAACGCCTTGACAAGCTGCGGAGCGGAGCAGGAATATGGATAAGGGTGTGCGTTAGAGGCTCCGGGGCTGAAGCAAAGGTCTGTATTTGTCTGCAAATTGCTGGGTTGCCTGAGGGTACAACAGGGTCAACAGCGGCGGAGTGTAAACAGACATAAATACAATCCAGGAACACACTCAGTCACACAGAGAGACTCGCTAACTCCCTCAAAGTGTCGCGCAGCAGTGACTTCATGTTGTCATCGCAATTCAGGCCATGATCCTTTTTATATATCTTTACACTGGCGAGTGTTTTCAATCACGTTTTTTCTTGCGCCATAAATTGTTTCAGATCCTGTGACACTAGACTCAGTTATGAATATATGAATATATATACACTACGAAAACCTTAGGAAGCTCCACTAGTCAAACAAGGTAATGGATAGAGATATTATATACTGCTCTTGGAAGCACCACTTGTTAGCGCCGGATTTTAATAATCATAAGAAAACATTTAGCACAGAATGTCTGCCCACAGCGCTGAAAAATACTTTCAATTTGAGTTTCAACTTGACAAACAGTTCCAATTCTTCCTGGAAAAAAATCTGCTGTTGTGAATGATTACAACGAGATATTATACATTGCTCAGTTAAGCACCACTGTAAGAATATCTAGATAATATGTAACACTTAATGCGAGTTTCAAAGTTAAATTGACAGCATTATATAGTGTCTGTTCATCCTTAAAATAAACCCTATACTGTTATGGTAAATAGTGCAGGTATTAATAGATATCAGAACAGATGGAGATATAATAGTCACTGCTCTTTGAAGCACCACTTGTTTGAAAAGCTTCCTGTGGACAAGGCCAGGGAAATTCCCCAGATATCAGTCACAGCGTTACAAGAAAGCGTTTAACACCACAACGTTTAATGATTAAAGGTTGTATTTAGTCCCCTTTTTGTTGTGTTGTGGTAAATTGTGATATCTACATTATTTAAGGCTTTTAAACCCCTCCGTACCAGCTCGGGGGGGTGATGAGGGGAAAGGGGAGGAGGAGCAGAGGGAGGAAGAGGAGGGGTGCCTGCGTCTTTAAAAGCGAGATGGAGTGAGGGAGTGGGGCGGACGGGTGGCTGGCAGGATTGTGCTGACGGCAGGGCTTTGGTTCAGAGCATGCCCATTAGAGGGAGCCATAAATCCTGGGCTCTCTGGGCCGGGCTGTGTCAGCAGTCCACTGAATGAATTGATTTTAAACGCCACTGAAAAAAAGAGAAAGTGCAACGAGAGAGAGAAGGAGAGAGAGTGACTATTTAATTCACCCTCCGCCAGAGGCCCACACCCCGTTCCACCCCGCTTCTCAATTCAGGACCGTCGTTGAAAAAAAAAAAAAGGGGGAGGAGAGAAGTCTAGAAACACTGAAACTGTCACCAGCAACAAGCCCAGGGCTACGCGGCCCCCCCTCCACGTTTGATTTAAACAGGAGGGAAACACACAAACCAAATACATAATCTCAAATTCCATACAGCATTTGTTCTCTTCCACCCCTCTAATTCCCCCCCCTACTTTTATATCTCCGCACGCGAAATGAGACATATCGTAAAAAGAGGAAGAACAAAAAAAGGCGCAGCTGCATTTGAATTTCAAATGTGTTGGATTTTGAAATTGATGTATGTGTTTATTCATTTACGAGCAGCATCCATGTCTGCATGCATTTATATATTATCAGCAGCAATGCAACGATGCATAGGAAGCTTGTAGCCCGTCTCTCTCCCCCGCATGCCCCCGCATCTTTGTTCCCTCCTCGAGCCGCTGCCGTATTATGTTCGGCATCGCAAAAAATATGTCTGCAAACAGACACACGATAAATTGTGCATGAGGACCGGTTGCAGGCGGTCATACTCTTTTCATGTAAACACATTTAGTATCTGTACTAGCTTTGTGTTTGTTACACTTGTTTAGACCCTGGCTTTGACACTGCTCTGTATGAACCTGTTG